GGGTATAGCCTAGAAGCACGAGAAGGCGTCCCGTCCGAGGATGGCATGATACCCACTGTTCAAGGGGACAACATGAAAGAGCAACTCTTCGGACCTGTAGTTTTCGGGCATGCCGAATACCACATCCAATTTAATTCTCCCAGAGCATCGTGCTTCTCGACTGGGGATGATGCCTCAAAAAGTGGTGTTGCTTTGCTCAATGCGTGTTCTATCAATCTGCATTTTGTCGAGCGTGTCTTCATAGACGAGGTTAAGCCCACTGCCGTCGTCCATGAGCACTTTGGTAAGCTGAAAGTCGTCCACAATGGGGTTTAGGACTAGGGCGGCGGGTGCTCGGACTGACCGAGCCTTTGGTTCATCTTCGGCGATGAAGGTTATTGCCGCGTCGTTCCATGGGCTCAGTGTGGTAACTTGGTGGACTTCGGCGAGGTCGCGGAGTGCCCTTTTTCGCCAATTATTTGAAGAAAAGGTCTCAAAGACCATGAGAACGTTAAAATCGTCCCTCTCCGGGGAGTATTTCTCTGGAGTGATGGTGGCGAGGATGGCCTCTCCACTCTTTGCTACCTGGCAGAGTATCCAACATGCTCGAAGGCTATGGGTTGGGTCTGTGCTTGGAGTCGCATGTATCCGACAGGGTTTATTTTTTCTGTCGACAGACTGATGATCGGATGCCCCGCTAGGGTTCATCCGTTTAGTCTGGGGCGCATACTACTTAAAGGTAGCGGCCTCCAGTTGAGTTTTCTGGGCCTTCCATGTGCTTTCCATCGCGTAGTACTTTTGTACTACCTGTGATAGTTCCGTGAAGCTCTGTATGTGACGACGGTCGAGGGCTTTCAGTATTCCCTCGTCGGTACAATTGCGATGAGAGACTGAGATTACATTATCGTCGCAACAATCTTTGATCTTGCTTTTAACAAGTAGGAATCTGGCCCAGAAGTGATGGACCATTTCCTGAGGTTGCTTCCGTACATACATCAGGTCATATATGTTTGGAGGGCTTGAGTTGCTTGGAGAGTATTGATTGTGGTGGGTGGGTGGGTTAAAATTTGAATCCCGACCCACATCTGTGCTTGGAGCTTGCAAAATCTCCAAAGTGATCAGTTCGGGTCCGGGGAGATCCAAGTGCTCCCCCGATCCTACATCCGAGCCAGAGTTCGGGGGAGACGGAGTCCCGTCTGAAGGGAGAGTATCTGGCTCGAGACGTTCGGAGACCCGAACATATTTGGTTTTCAACATAGGGGGAGAGGTGTCCTCGGCTCGTTCCTTAACGACCGCTACCAGGTAGGTGATCGGTGGGCGATAAATTTCCCTCTGGTCAGGATTAAGCCCGATCCGACCATAATCTATTGAAACCCCAAGGGCGGGGATGCGATCTAGCAGCTCATTTAAGGATGAGACATCTGTCGAATCCATATTTTCGGAGTACTCGAGACCGATGCGAAGACGTTGTTCGGCAGTCGTAGGGGGTGCTGTAGGCTTGATGGCCGTATGGGCGCCTATGGTGAAACTGCCGAGCTGGAGGGTCTACCCAAAAGTTAGGCTCCTTCCAGAGGTGATATTGTCGTTGATGTCTAGACGAGCCATAGACCCCTTTTTGGGACTGCACAACAAAGCTCTCAATGAAAGCACCAATGTCGGTGTCAAAACCGGCAGATCTCGGGTAGGGGGGCCCAAGCTGTGCGTCTAAGGATCAATGGTAACAATGGACGAAGAGACACAATGTTTACCCATGTTTGGGCCCTCTTAAAGGAGGTAAAACCTACGTCCTGCTTGATTATATTCGATGAGTATAGGGGTTACAAGAGTTAATCTACCTCGAGATCGTAATGGCTAAACCCTAGCTTGTCTAGCCTATGAATATTGTGATATCCTCTACGGACTAAACCCTCTGGTTTATATACACACCGGAGGGGCCTAGGGTTTATACAAAGTCGGTTCATAAGGGAAGGAAACAATACATCCGAACTCTAATCTTGCTGTCCACGCACATAGGAATCCTACCCGAACACAAAGGACGGCCTTCTGCTTTATCACGGCCCATTCAGCCCGGCCCTCATCCTTGGGCCGGACACCTGAGGACCCCCGAAACCAGGACTCCCTCGGCGACCTTCACCCTTTACAGACTTCTTGGCTCGTCCATGGTCCAAATGCTTCCAAGTAACGTCTACTTGTGTAGGAGACACACACCCTATCTTTGGGAGGGACATGATGTCAAATGCAAGCATGAAGTTTCTGCTCGTGAGCTCATATGCAGCCTTGTGAAAAAAAATTATAAACAATTTTTTTAAAAAGAATTTGGGGACAAACATTGACGAATTTTCAACGTGCGTGCAAATTTTCATGAAGTAAAAATATTCCAAAATGCTTCCGTACAAAAACAAAATTGATGCTCCAGGAAACAAACTTTTTGGAGCCTCAATTTCTTTCTGGTGGAATTTTGGAATGTTGTTTCTTAATGAAAATTTGCAAGCATGTTCAGAATTCTTAAATGTTGGTTACAAAAAAAATCATTTTTTTATTTTACTGTTCACGAGAGTGCATACCAACTCATGAGAAGAAGGGTACTTTTTGGTCAAAAGCACCCTTTATTGTCATGCCAGTAACCAACCACAATTAGGGGACCTCGATGCACTTCAAAAAAGGAAAATGATTTAACTTTAAAGGCCAACATGTCCGGGCATGGTTTAGGGTGACATTAATCAAAGCAATGCATATTTCTCCATTTTTACATTTAGAGGGGACTTTAAAATAGGCATGCTTGATGTGTAACATGTTCATTTATTGCCCCTTGATTATTTGCCTACAAGGTTGAATTCAAACTACTCCCTCAGTCCCATAATATAAGAGCATTTTTACACTAGTGTAGTGTGAAAAACACTCTTATATTATGGGACGGAGGGAGTATCTTTTGGAGCCACGCGGTCGTATTCAACTGATCTATCTAACCAAAAAATGAGTGATGTGCCACATGAGAAAAAGCTTTGTTTTATCCTTCATTCTGATGCACATCTCCTCATCCTCCTCCTCCTCCGTCTCTCCTCTCTCCCCAAGACCCCCCCCCCCACTCTTGTAAGCTCCTCTTCTTTCCCTGACCCATCTTTCAAAGCACCATAGATACCTTGTGATGGAGATTGAGGTCACACCACCAAGCTCCGAGAAGATGTCAGGACTGCGGGGAACTAACCCAAGGTCACCCAATTAGGTTATGTTGAAGCTCCCAAGAGCCAGATTCATGGACCGCAAGCCAGAATTGACAAAAGTCAGTACTTCTTTTTTTTTGCGGGTAAAAACTTGTATTGCTCAGATTCAACCTTACAAAGATCAACGACCTCTGGGGGGGGGGGGGTCAGAGCCCAGCCAGACAAAAGTGAGTGCCTGTGTTGTTGATGGAGACCAGGGCTGGAATTCGAGTCGAGCCGAGCCAACTCGGCTCGACTCGCTAGAGCTCGTTTCGTTAACGAGCTAGCTCGACTCGACTCGACTCGTTACTATAACGATCTCAAACCCAAGATTTGCTCGACTCGTATAACTCGCGAGCCAGCCCATTTAGCTTGTTAAGCTCGTTAAAGATATGAACATAAAACCTTCAAATATGATAAAAATGATTATATATTAAACATATATATAACTAAACAATTGTAATTCCCTTGTAACACATGAGTCTTCTGGGCGGCTGGGCCTTCAACAGTTGGGCCTTGTGTTATGCGCTTGGGACGAAGGGTCCTGAGTGGCTGATTTTTTTTCTGGATTTGGAGTAGCTGATCTTTTATACCAAGCCGAGTTACATGAGTACTCGTGAGATTGACTCGTTTAACTTGGTCTATAAACGATTTTAAACTAAAGCTCGACTCGACTCGTTATTCTTCGAATTCGAGTCGATTCGAGCCGAGTCACGAGCTACTCGTTTAGCTCGCGAACCACGAGCTTTTTTTCCGGCCCTAATGGAGACGTCAGAAGTTTTTGTCGCGTACTCACAAAGTTCAAATTTTGTGGATGCGTCTAAAATGTTGTAACATAGTGAACGCCATTTAACACGGTCATGGGGAGAAACATCGCAGTTATGCAAAAAAATTTTTTTTGCATAGAGTTCTATATTGCACCAAGAAAAAAAACCCAAGTTCACAGTTAGACGGGGTGTATGCAGAGGAGTTGATCGGTGAAAATATGAATTGACCAACTACTCTGGTATCATTGCCACTCCATCTATTTATGACTTTTGTTGTGGGTTGTTTAGGAGTTCATGCTGCTAGACAGTTGTAATCAACCTATATTGAATAAATAGTTGTATGAATCGATTAACGCAAAGTCTAGATATTGTAAATAAACTTGACGATACCATGCGTGACCTCTAATCAACTCAAATCATTCCCACAAAAGAAAAGAAAGGGTTTTTATTAGTTTTGCTATTAATTGTGTCACACAATTTAATTTTGCATTAGAAGTTTCAAGTATTAAAAAATGCCATCCTTTAGTTAAACACGTACTTAGAAAATGTCCCTCAACATCATTACCGTTCGCTCGAAGACCATTGATCAGGGTGAAGTGATTAAAATACCCCTAGACCCCACTTATCAGCGTCCCCCCTACAACTCTTTGTAACTGTAGGCCATAGTTTCAATATATGAAGAATGAAATTAGAAGCAAAAATAGCTTCACACGTGAGTGATCGAATCTCCACGTGTCATTATTTTTTCTTGTAGTTTAGTTCTCGATGTGATGACAATTAGGACCCACATGTTATAGGGGAGCACAGACAAGTAAGGTTCAGATTTATTTTGGTCATTTCACGACGGTCAATGACCTCAATGACCTTGATCAAATTATAACGGTGTCGAGTGACATTTTTTAGCATATACTTAACAGAAGGATTACATTTTTTAGTAGTTGAAACTTCTAATGACAAAATTGAGTAGCGTGGCAAAAGTGATAAAACCCAAAAATAAAAAACTCAAATCATGTTCATAGCCGCGTAGACAAAGTGACAAACATCCCGGTTTTTCCTACTGTTCCATACACGACGACCCGTACGTGGCGGTGGAGCCATCTCGCCGCCTCGTTCCTGCCCCCGCTCCCGCTACTGCGCCCGCGGCGCGCTGCTGCTCCTGCTGGAAGTCGCGCCTGACGGACCAGAGCACCTCGGCGCACCGCCGCATGGCCGGCCGCGCCGCGCGCTCCGGGGCCGCGCACTCGGCCGCCAGCGCCATCACCCTCTCCACGGCCGCGACCGCCGCGCTGGTCCTGCGCATCCGGGGGTCCATCACCACCACCACGTCGCCCTCCCTGCACTTCCGCAGCGCCTGCGTCCACATGGTAATTCCGTCGAACACCTTAATTGCAGTCCCTTTGAACGCCCAAAATGTTTGCTAGAGTGGAGATGTTTTACCCATTCGGTGCTGAGGCGTTGCTGCCGGCCACGGTTGCGCTCTACGGGTCGTCGGCCGGTGATGAGCTCGACGAGGAGGACGCCGAAGGAGTAGACGTCGCTGCGTTCAGTGAGGTGGTTCGTGTTCAGGTAGTCGGGGTCGACGTACCCTACCGTGCCCTTCACCATTGTTGATATGTGAGTTGCTTCGGTGTCGTATGGGGCTAGGCGCGCAAAGCCGAAATCGGACACCTTTGCTCTCAGCTGATCTGTTAGGAGAATGTTGGACGACTTGATATCACGGTGGATGATTGGGTTGTCTGCATCTCCATCATACAGAAATATTGGTCAGACATTAGGATGTCGGTAATTCGTATCTGTCGTGGATGCAGATACATTATTTAGGGATTCATAAATTTAATGTGTGCAAAATACCGACAAATTTTGATAAATAAAATTTGAAATTTGTGGTGATTAGTGCATCTCCAACGGCAACGCGCAAATTTCCTCCCGCATCCGTCCGCGGACAGGGGGACCAGTCCGCGGACACGGATGCGGGACAAATTTTGATAAATATAATTTGAAATTTGTGGTGATTAGTGCATCTCCAACGGCAACGCGCAAATTTCCTCCTGCATCGGTCCGGGGACAGGGGGACCAGTCCGCGGACACAGATGCGGGAGGACAACATCCAACGCTGGCTGCATACATTTTGACAACAACTCAAACTAACAAGACGAAATTCAATCAAACATGACCAGATTTCAGATAAACACGGCCGGATTTCATATAAGCATGACGGATTTCATTTAAACTTGACGGATTTCATCTATACATGACTAATTTCATTGCATTTACATCAACTAAGCGGAGCTCGTCCGGCTAGGTCAATGGTTGACGGCACCCATTCCCTGTGTACGGCCATGAACCAAGAGAACTGAAGCTTCGCCTTTTCCAACTCCGCCTCCGCGCTCTCCAGCTCTGCCTCCGTAACCTCTGCCTCCGGAGGCCCGGGAAGTGAAGTTGTCCGCCTCCACATCGCTGTGCCGGTTTCTTCGTGGTGGCAGTGCGGCGCGGCCTCGGCGTTATCCGCCTCCTCGCCGGTCTCGCCGAACACCGCCTCGCCCGTGCCGTCGTCGCACTCCTTGCCAGCGTCCGCCACCCGCTGCCGGTACCGCCAGCGGGCGAGGCGGATCTCGCGGGCAGAGAGATAGGACTCGAGCAACGCCTCCTGCTCCGCCACGTCAGTGTCCTGCGCGAACACTCTGTCGGCGGCGATCTGCTCCTCCGCCTGCAGATGCTCGTGGAGGAGGTGGTGGTTTTAGGCGGCGGCGGGCGCCTCCCGGAACTGCTCCTCCCGCACCATGTCCATGTATTGGGCATGGGCCCTGCCGATGGTCATGGTGCTATGCACCGGCAAGGGTGGCGCGGAGGAGGAAGATGGTGGCGGGGAGGAGGAGGGTGGCGCCGGTTCGTCGTCGGCAACGTCCTCCATTGGGACGTCATTGTCCTCCGGCTGCCTGCCGGCCAGCCAGCCGGCAACAATGGCGGCCCTTCTTCTGGCCTGACGTCAGCCTGTCCCAGAGAGCTTTGGCGGGGAAGGGATCCATGGTGGGAGTGTTGCGGGGAGGAATCGGAGGTGGATGACTGCGGCTATGGCCGGGGCACCAGCTTTTATAGCAATGGTGGGTGGCAGGGGGACGAACGAGTGGCCCGGAGGAGAGGCCTCAGCACTCCTAGTGCCATCAATGCGGGCGGCAGACGGACGGACAGGCGGTCGTCATGTTGTTTGAACACGCGGCAGTCGCCTGCATCATGAAGCGACGCGGGCGGCGCTTTCTCGGCCTGTGCGCCGCTTCAATGCCGGCGCTAGTGAGCGGTCGCGTCCGCTCTGGCCGGGCATGAAGGCGGGCGCTGACGCTCTGGAGCGGCGCTAACCGAAAACGCGCAAGAGGGGGAGGGTTTTTTGGTGGGCTAGGGCGGTCAGAAGCGAGCGTGGGATCGGTCCGGACTCCTGCAACCCTCCCCCACGTTTGTCTCTGCTTTACGGAGAAAATGCATCCGGATCGCGCCGCGGACCGATACAGGACCACGTTGGATGGCTTCCGCGGTCCGGACGGTTGCGGGAGGTTTGAGGGTCGGCGTTGGAGATGCCCTTAGTTTAGACATTCAGAGCTTTGCTCATGTATGCGTGACCTCACGTAAGTGTGGATACAAACATATACATGCTCTGTGCAAGGTACATCTATAAGTTTGTTCACAATGTAGCACATTTCCCCCCTTTGAAGGCCCAACAGATATTTCAAAATAAGGCAAACCATGCTTGTGAACAAAGATATTGAATTTGGAAACTGTAATCTGTGGGATACCAAATATGCTACTCCCTCCTATCCATATTAATTGTCGCTGATTTAGTACAACTTTGTATGGATCGGAGGGTGTAACTGAAATTGAGTGGTCTTAGTGTTGTCATAGAGAAGTACAGTAGAGCACAATACCTGTGTATCCATGTAAGTAAGCAACAGCATGAGCTATGTCGATGGCAATGTTGAGACGCTGTGAAAATTCCAATGGTTCCCCTCTTGATCCTGCATAGTGAAAAAGTTTGTGGTCCCAAAATTCGTTTAATCTAGTAGAAATTTGTGAGAGAAATAGCATTATATCTACGTCATACATTCAGTCCCAAGAAGACTTGAGTAACAAAGCTATAGAGGGAACATTGAACATGTATGGTTATAAAAATAAAATAGAGTACAAACATTTACTTAGTGACTTGTATAAGAAAATACCTGCAATAATACTCCCTCCGTTCCTAAATATTTGTCTTTTAGAGATTTCAAATGGACTACCACATACGGATGTATATAGACATATTTTAGGGTGTAGATTCACTCATTTTGCTCCGTATGTAGTCACTTGTTGAAATCTCTAGAAAGACAAATATTTAGGAATGGAGGGAGTATGTTTGATTTCATCCAGTTCCACGGCCTTACTGGGTTCTCTATCTGTACACATTTTAACAATACTACAATGACCTCAAGCAAATTTGACCTACCATCCAAGTGTTCACGTAGTGTTCCGTTGCTGATATACTCAACCAGAATCAAGCGCTCATCCTGATGCTCCAGGTGTCCGAGAAACTTCACTAAGTTTAAATGTTCTACCTTAGACAATATCTGGATTTCACTCCTGAACTCTGCAGATAGGTGCCTGTCAAACATATTCTGCCAATTCCAGATGTTACGTGAAAGGATTTCATTCATTTCGTTGCTCGGAGTAATTTATTAGTAAAGATGTGAACTTCCTGTGATAAGATAGCCTTCCACTAACCTTCTTAGCTCTCTTTACGGCTATTATGGATCCATCCCTGAGCTTCGCCTTGTACACAGTGCCAAAATTTCCTTTCCCAATTTTGTTCTGTTCACTGAAGTTTGAAGTAGCCAGGCAAACTTCCTGAAATGAGAACTGGTCTTGCCATGACTTGGTTTGACTAGTGCTTGTGCTGCTTACTGATGAAATTCTCGAGACTGCCATAAATCATTGGAAACCTTAAATTTCTTAGTTGTAGTTAATCAAACTCGCTTTACTTCATCAATGGAACAGCTAATATTAGAAATACATGCATGCACACTGATGAAAATGCAAGCTGAATATCTTGAATAACAGAAATAACGATTGGGAGAAATATCTGGATGGTATTAACTGAACTACAATGCTAACTTGATGGATTTCGAATTAACATAGGCTTGCGTCCCCAAGATTAATGTAAACAGGACAGAGAAGGTGGCAAATTGGGATTCTCTAAAAGCTTTTAATAAGCTGGTTTGATGATAGACGAAACATCATGCCGTATTATATGATATTTAACCTAGAAGTTTGGCCTTGATGAGAACTGACTCCTCATTGTTGCTGTATGCTACAAATTTGCATTTTTGCATGGTTCAAATTTTGAAGGCCTTTCACATGTCATTTGACTAGGTGCCAAGTTAACATAAGTACATGTTTTCTTTTGTGCAATTCAATTTAATGACTAAAATAACCGGCTCAAATTGCAGAGACATATGCAGTCACAGGATAACATGTACATGATGAATGAAGAGAGAAAGGTGAGCTTACTGGAACTAGTGGACACATCATGAGCATCTTCCGAGGATTTGACATGGCCCTCCCTAATTTCAGATTGGCGAGGAGCGAGGCAGTTTGTGCATGCTCCGGCAATTGTCGTAGCAGCTTCTTCCCAGAATGATTTCCTGCTCCTGGCCTTCTCCTCAGGCACACTGGAAGGAGGTGTATAGGTGGATGCCCTGTAGAAGACCGGATCTGTCTGAAACTCATGGTTGGAGGCAGAGAGGTCTCCTCCATGGCCCGAGCTGAGTGCTCGATGGCGTGCTGCCCGCATAACTTTCTTTTTTGGAGATCAAACTGCCTGCATAACCGACGGGGTTAGAAGATGGCGTTGGAACCTGCTCTCACAGGGGCAGGTAGCAGTTCATCTGGTTCTTTCCTTGAACTTTGTTGGACATAACGCAATGGACCGGTTCAAGCTTGACCTGGTGGTGGTGGGTACCTCTAAATAACTATGAAAGGAATGCTCCTTTGGGCCTAAGGTCAAACCAGTGGAGCCCTGATGTCGTCTATGATAACAACACTTCAGAGACCAGGAATTTAATATGGGTGAAGGATGCAGAGATTGAGCCTTCAGACTCTTGGCAAGAGAGAAGTGCACCAGGCTTCATCCTGTGCCGTCCTCTACTCTGGAGTTCCAACCCTAGCGAAGGAAGCATTACATTCTCTGCTGCCACAGGAAAGTTTGAGTTGATCATCTGGACGGTTCAGGCCCTTGACGGATGACTTGCCGTTACGATGTCGTACGTCACCCCAGCAGTTGATTCAGATTTGGTGTTTGTTCTTTCAGTAAGAGTCAATATGACCAGCAGTTGATTTTCAGGTAGTTTGGTGTTTGTTCTTTCAGTAGGAGTCACTATGACCAGGATGTACACGTCCGTCCATGATTGCACAGCAGCTGTTTTCCTTTTTCATTTATTCGGGGCATTTCGACACCCTAACCCTGTTTCGCATCAGCGGGGAGCTCCAAGTGGCGTTTTAGAACTCAATGCGCCCCCTCTATTTCACATCAAATCAATATTTGAGGGGACTAGGTATGCTGATAGTTACAAGTACCATACTATATTTTCCGCACATTTATGAACAGTAAGACATTGCAATAACTATAATTCTCCTTCGGTCAATGGACAGCTATCATGAAACGCCGGCTCAAGCTAAAATGTCTCACATTATGAGTTTAAATGCCCTCCACAACTTATATTACTGTCTTTACACCCTCGACAGGTTCCCCACTTTGTTTGTGAGTTCCTGGTCTCACCTTTTCACTAATCATGCAGTACAACTGCTAGCCATTTTAAACAAGGGCAACTCTTGCCTCACCAAACTATGCTAGATCAAGCCATTCAACCATACTGTCCATTATTTTCGGTCTCTACCACTGCCATCGCCAGTTTGCCACCCCTAAAGTACAGCTCCTACACCGCCATTTATTCTCTGGCATGCTTCAGGTATCCTTGACTCCTGAAATTCACATTTCGGACTTGCGCATCAGAAAGATTCACATGATCTAAACCTCTGAAACCCTGCTTCCACAATAAGACAATTCACCACATACTTCCACTACATCGAAGCACACGATGTTGTAGTCCGGATGTGTAATGCTCATCTCTCGTTCACGGAAATTTCCGGTACTATCCCATATGATAATGCCACAATACTCCCAGTGAATCATCAAATTGTTTACTATATATTTTCTCTTTACCGCTAGCTACTGCCATCAAAATCAACACGCTCTCCAGTAGCAAAGATATCCCAGAACAGGGCACTGCTGAAATATAGAAGTGATGTTAATGTTAAAAATCCACGGAAAGAACCCATCCGATCAACAAAGAATCCTGCTCCAATAGTTCCTAAAATGGCAGCAAATGTTCCCGCCGTATTTGCCATTCCTGTTAGCACACAAACATAGATTAAATATATAGTAATGCATATGCACAAAAACTATAACAAAAACACAGGGAGCACAAGGAACTTATTTAGTACCATGTAGCACTCCAGCATATTGTGGGGCGATCTCCTGGTAAGAATTTAAAAATTATTTCCATCAGATAGGAAAGAGAATCCGAATTGGGTGTCAGGGGAGGGGGGGTGGGGGTGGGGGAATGAAATTAAAAAAAAATGTGACTGCTTCGCACACTGAACTAATGTTACAAGTTTAAACACCTGAAAATTTACAAGGAATCCTGAGTGACCAAAGGACTTCAAACCAACAGCAATAGTTAGCCAAGCTGAAGCAATGGCTGGACTCTTTGCTGCATTCAAACCAATAAGAGCAATACCAGGACCCACAAAGCCAATTGTCTGCACGAAACAATATTAAAGGGTCAAAGCTTGGATTTAATCCCAGCAGCATATATCCACATTGAGATGACAAATTTTATTTTCAAATCAATAGTAATAAACGGCAGGTGGTAGCACAAAAACTTGGCATTTTCACCAGAGTATTCTACTGTCATTTACCATTGCGAGAATTGTGTTACGGATATACAATTCAGCTCTGACTATAATTTAGCCAAGCTGGATAACAAAAAGAAGGGTAGATTGGTAAAGTTGTTGTTCATGAAGGGTCACCTATGTTAATAATTGCTTTGAAAATATCCATGCCTTGCATTCCAAACATGCAATAGCTTACAAATTTAACATATGTAAAGTTGCTTTGAGAATATCCATGCCTTGCATTCCAAACATACAATAGCTTACAAACTTAACATATGCTGATTGATGTATCTTGTGAAACCAACTGCCAATAGTGAACGCACATCATATCACAAAATTATGGTATGTTTGGTAAGAATGTGGAGGTGTACTCAAGATCTTATCCAATAAAACAAACTAAAAACACAATGATGATTCTTCACTTTTATTTTAACCTGAAAATTTCAGCAACACACCTGCATTATCTTCCGAGTTAAAGTAATGCTTGTGCCATTCCGGATAAGTGCGTCTGATACAACACCAGCCACATAACCTAAAACTGCCATCATGACCCAGGGAATTGCACTAAACCATGCAGCTTCTCTCAGATTGACATGAAATATCTGACCACCAAGGAAATATTTATTAAACCACAGGGAGAATCAGTTTATTTAGTCTAGAAACATGCAGCGGAATCAGGGCTTACGGTTTTGAAATACACTGGCATCCATGAAAGGATGACGAAATAGCCCTGAAAAAATAACACAGCCCTCAAGAGATTACCCATAAACAGTATTCTTCACATGGCACAATCTAACCAAGAGTTAAGTTTATAGGAGTTACCCAGCTATGCATAGCATTTGCAGAAATTAAAGCCCAGGTCGGCCATTTAGAAAGTAGGTTTCTAAACGGAGGGATCTTTCTTAGTTTTTCACTTTGAACTTGAGGTTTCACCAATTTCTGACCCTTTGTAATATACTCTAGTTCATATGCTGATATTTGAGGATGTTCACCAGGAGTTCCCGTTATAGCAGATATCCACACCAGCACCCACAGAAATCCAAACAAACCAAAAATCACAAAGGGTCCAAATGTTCCAGTTCGTGACATGATAATAGGGGAAAGAAGTAAGCCGATGGTATTTCCAAGCTGAAAGCCAGCCATCGCGATCCCCACAGCACTAGATCGTTCAGTACGAGGAAACCACCTGTAAGAAAAGGCCCAATGTAAACGTTTTCATAAATCTTGACGGGCAGGGCAACAAAAACAATATAAATATTAGGTTCTGGTAAAAGCGTGAAGACTGATCAAGTGAACAAAAATTCAGAAATCAAAAGAAATACCTCAGCACCATATTGTTCATACATGGCAATGCCACTCCTTCTGCAACACCGAGCAGAATTCTAGTTGAGATGAACAACCAAAGTGAGCGTGCAGCTGCCCAAGGGGAAAGGAATGTAGCGAAGGACCATAAAGCCACACCATACGCCATGACTCGCTTCCCGCCGTAGTAGTCAACAAGCGCTCCACCGATTATAGGTGATATCAGATATCCCCAAAGGAAGGACGACTGTATGAAGCATCAAAAACACAATGGCATCACCACATCATTCAAGGATGATGCACACAGTCATGTACTCCCTCTGCCCCAAAATATAAGAACATTTTTAACACTACACTAGTGTCAAAAACGTTCTTATATTATGGGACGGAGGGAGTAGAAAACAAGAACAGTATAGGCAGTGGGCAAACAAGAACAGTATAGGCAGTGGGCACTCCACAGTTTGGTTAAGGTGAACAGACATCCGGACTTCCATGGTTTGTCAAACACAACAGTTTGTACATTACTTTATGGCTGCCATGGGAGGAAACTATGCATAATGTATAATATGGATGAAGAAACTGAAAGAATTAACATGTGAGTAACCGATTTAGTGGAAAATGTATTAAATCTTATACCCAGCTTGTCATCCGAGCGATGCCACCGTTAAAGTATTAAACAGTAATTGCAATTGAGCACTGGACCACCTGTTTAAACCTTAATCGTCGCAGTTGAGCATTCAATCACCAAACACAGTTACACAATTGCGTTCAGTCACTGATGGAAGAGTGGTGTAGTGTAGTGCAGACAATCAACAGCAAACAGAAGCAGCGAGAGCTGGGAACCTGCACGACGCCGGCGAAGGAAGGGGTCCATCCGTACGCCTGGGAGAGCGGGACGATGGCCACGGACATGACGACGCGGTCGGCGTTGCAGAGCGCGAGGGCCAGCCCCAGCATCGCCGCCACCTTCACCCTCTCAGACGTCATGAACTCCGCCGCCAGAGCCTGCGCCTCGCCTCCACCGGCGGCGGAGGCCCCAGGAGGCGCAGCAACGGGGCGGGTCCTGTTCCCGGCCAGAGGGCGGAGCGGCTGAAGAGGAGAAGGACACGCGAGGCGGCGGGGCTGCCATGGAGGCGGACGCGAGGTTTGAGCGCGGGCGGGAGGAGGCAGGCGACGGCGGCCGGAGAGGAAGGGGGGAGCGGAGGGAGGCAGAAGCGAGCGGGTCAAGGGGAGCAGTTGGCCGGGAGCGGCCATGGTTTGTTTTCTCCGCCGCCTGGGTGCGCTCTGCCGGAGTGGAAGTGGTGGGTGGATGATTCAGGTGAGGTGGATTGGTGCAGTGACGTGTAAGATTTACGGGCTTCTTTGTTCACGTGGTCCGTGATGCTGGCGCTGGTTTGTTCTGGCCCGGCTTGACGGTACAACTCGCAATTTGCATGGGCCGGAGCCGGTGACAAGTGGCCCTCGGCCCCAAGGTCCGCCGGCGGCTCCGTCTTCTCCGGTCTGCTGCTGTGCAAGAATTCTCAGGCAAGGCACTTC